GGGGTCCTGAAGCCCTGGGGCCAGCCTTGCGGCCTGGGCCCCAGCTCCCAGCTCAGCCTGTCACAAACTCCTCTCTGCTGGGAGCTCTCCCTTTGGCTTCTGGCTTCTGGCTTCTGGCTTCTGATTGTCCTTGCAGGGGACAATGGGGGAGCAACTTCATACCAAACCAACCAAACCAAACATGTAAGATCAGAGCTAGTGAGGCCAGTGACAGCTGAATGGAGGAGGCAGTGCTGGTGGTGTCCCCTTGCTGTGACCATCTGCTCACTCCGGTCCTGAACCGCTGCAACCCTTGACCCCATCCCCACCCAGGGTTTCTGGGGCCTTTTCCTGTGGCAGATCATGAGTGTCGGGGGACACTTGTCCGTGTTGTAAATTGTGCAGCGGGTCTGTCACGATGACTAGGCACCCTGCTCTGTCCCTTGTTTTTACAACAAAAAGTGGCGTTTCGTAGTATTTAAAATTGTTTTTTGTTTTCCAAGAGAGCATTGTTTTAAAAGACCTTTAGGTGTACTGACAAGTTGCACAGAGTGTGTAGCGTTCCCACGTGCCCCCCCTTCCCCCCGCAGTTTCCCTGTCATGCACATCTTGCCAGAATGTGCTGCCTTTGTTAGAACTGACAGCTTTGAATGCTTGCCGACTATTGATACTTCACGATTAACTCGAGTCTGCGGTTTACCTGTGGGTCCCTCTCTGTGTCGCACGTTCTGTGGATTTGGCCAAATGCACAGTGCCTTGTATCCGATGTTGTGGAGTCACACAGGGTCTTCCCCTGTGCTCCGCCTCCGCCTGCCTGTGCCTGACAGCCGCTGATCTTACTGCCCCTACGGTTCCGTGTAGTTGTGTTTTAGAAACGCGTGCCCCTGCGTGTGGTCTGAGGAACAAGAGAGCAGGAAGCTGGACAGTTGAGCCGCCTTTTCAGGGGCCTGGGGCTCTTTGCATCCCCACCGTTTCAGGAACAGATGTTAATCCTGGGTTTGGGGTCAGGTCGCCAGGGAGCTGCCGCCGTGAGAGGTGGGCTGTCCTGTGTCAGTTGAAGGTGTCAGACACCTGTGATGGGCCTGGGAGCTGGTTAGTGTGGCCTTTGTGACGCGTTTGTCACTCGGGGAGACTGTGTATCATTTACGCTGAGGCTTCACTGGAGTGGCACATGGCTTCATGTGGCAGAGGCGGGGAGGACGTCACCCGCCCAGAGCCGTCATCGCAGGGCTGGTTCAGGGCTGGTAAACTTAACAGCGCCTGACGGCGTGGCCGGTGTGTCCTGGCGGAGCTGCACTTTGGGTAGCTCCCTGCTGCCTCTGCAAATAGAAATCTAAGGAGAAGCCTTACAGAAGTGTCATCTGTGGTTGGCAAGGCTTTCTGAGAACAAGGGTGTCGCCCACGTTCTGTGGGCTCAGGACGTCAGCTGGAAGGGGGGGGGCCCGCATCGCCTTGTGAGTGAGGGACTCTGCTCGGGACCGTGCTCCTGGACGGACGGAGCCGGCGGGCCCCTGAGAAACAGCTGCCAGACTGACTGCTCGTCCTTGTTTCAAATGTTATTAAAACTGCATGGTCTCCCCCTGCCCCCCTTATTTGTAGAGATTGGTCTGTGCTGACTCTCTTGTTTCCTCCTCTTCGCTGCAGCGTTGAGCCTCTCTCTGCAGGTGGGATTCTGGGCCTGCAGGGTGGGCGGCCCTGGCCCTCCAGGACCCACCTGGCACAGCCCTTCTCACCCGTGTGATGGACAGATACTGAGATCATTCACCTCAGGTGGCGTTTACACGCGAGTGTCTCCTCTGCGTCCAGCCATCTCTCCCGTCAATGTGTTGTCTCCAGGGGCGTCTGCAAGGGGACGGGGGTCCCACCCTGACTGGATTTGTCCTCTGTCACTGTGTCCCAATCCCATGGCCCTCTGGCCACCAGAGATGTGTGACCTTCAAGATGTGGTCTTGCTGTTTTCCGTCCTGGGTGGGTTGATGGTGTGGAGGAGACGCTGGGCTTTCAGAGGTGCCGGCGGGTGGGTAACCCTTGGAGCCCGGCTCTGGGACACAGACCTTGGCTGCTGACCCGGCGGCCACTGCAGGCACTTTCAAAGGGAGAGGCCGGGGCAGGGAGGGGTGCCGGGTTTTCCTCACGGGACTGTGGAGCACCTGGGGTGCAGGGCCGGCTGGGCGTGGGGGTGGGCTCCTGACTGGGCTCCGAGGCGCAGCCGGGACCGTGTGGGCCCGTCAGCTCAGTCCTGTGCCCCAGGTGCTCAGGGCACCACGTTAGTGCTGCCTCCCCCGTGCCCACCGAGGCCGACTCCAGGCGTGTCCCCTGTCCAGCTTTTCGCGTTGAGCCCAGTAGGGGGTCGTGAGATGAACTGTTTGCCAAGTCAGGATGCTCGAATGGCTGCTTTACAACTTTTGCAAAAGTGAAGCTGCGTGCAGTGGGGGTAATTGTGCGGCGGCCTCCCCTCAGGTGCCTGGTCAGTCCCAGTGCTCGCGGCCAGGGTGCTCCCGGCAACCCCCTGCCCGTCCTGAAGCCGGGCTGGGACGCGGTGTCCTCGGGTCCGAAACCCACCAGGGCGCACCCCCAGAAGGTGTCATGTCTGCAGCGGCAGCGCCACACCCGAACTTACCGTGGTTCCTTGAAATTAAGTATCTTGGTGGTGATAAATAGTCCCAATCGTGTCATATTTTTAATGATTTTGCAGCTTGTTGGACTCAGAATCCAAATGAGTTCTGTGCATTGTGGTTGTCAGAGTGCTCAGTTTCTCTTAACCTGCAGGCGCCCACACGTCCTTCCCCCCGCCTGGGGGGCCCTGTCGTCCGGGGCCCACAGTGGCCTGGCCGCGGCCCCCTCTCCCGGCGGCCCTGCCCTCTGGAGGGGGCAGCCGGTTGGGAGCCAGCAGCAGCTCCCTAGCGGGGAGCTGCTGCGGTGGCGGCGGGCCCATGGGCCCGTGCCTGGGCACTCCTGGCTCTGGTTCCGGTTCCTCTGCTGTGGGCGAGCGTCTCCGGGTCCGCAGCTCCGGCGGGAGGGTCGATGCTCTCCCTGCTCTTAGTGTGAGCGCTGGTGCGGTGCGGGACTGGCTCCCCGCCGAAGGCGGCCAAGAGCTCCCTTCTTTCCCTTCATTTACCACCTTGAAAATAATGCGTTGATTCCCTGCAGTAAGGAAGCAAATGGTTTAAAAACCTCTCTGGGGACCATGGATGTAATCGTGTTGTGTTTCGGGCCTTTGCAGTCATGGTTCCCTTGTCCCTCAGGAGCCCTCGGGCCCAGGTGCCCTCGCATCCAGGAGCCCTCGCCCCCAGGACCCTCGCTTCTCAGGTGCCTCGTCTGTCACCCCATGTGGAGCAGCCGTCGGGGTCCGGGGCTTCCTCCCCCAGCACAGCGTGGCTCAGGCTCACCTGTCACGTGTCCTGCTTGGGGCCCAGAACCAGCTGAGTGTTCAGAGCCCTGTCCCGTCAGAGTGAGTGGGAGAGGCGGGGCTCCCTGCCCTGGGGCTAGTCGCTGCCTCTACCCTTTTCCAGCAGATGAGGGGTGGGGAACAGCTGACACGGCCGGTGGGGTGGGATGTTAGTATCCGCGAATCCAGTCAAAAGGCAGGTGAGAATTTCCTGTTCTTGTAGTTCTTGCAACTTTTCTGTGAGTTTGAAATTATAGCCAACTGAAAAGCAACTGCGCACGTGTGTTAAGTTGCTGTGTGCCTGGGAGATGCACGGTGATGATGCTTAAGTCGAGTGGTCTGTGCCCTTGCCGGGAGTGTGCGAACGTCCGTGGGTGCTGCCTGCGTGACTTTAAACTCCGTGCACGTGTCCAGTTTCTGCACTTGTCTGTACAGGCTTTTCTGTCTCTCTTGCTCCAGGTGAATGAGAACTTTGCCATCGATCTGATAGCAGAGCAGCCTGTGAGCGAAGTCGGAAGTCGAGTCATATCGTGTGACGGCGGCGGGGGCGCCCTGGGCCATCCGCGAGTTTACATAAACCTGGTAATGCACCGCCCACCCCCGGCCCAACCTGTCCTGTCCTGCCCACCCTCCATGGCACTCTCCCACCTGGCCTTGGCGCAGACCGCGCGAACGATAGGGACTGAGCCACGGTGTCCAGGGCACCTCTTGTCTGACCCATGTGTGATGCCCTTAGTGTCACCAGCGCTGCGCCACCTTCCTCCCAAACACATGGGGTGTGTCTTTCCCCAGGAACCCTTGCCTCCGCGCCTGTGTTTATGTCCCTGAGGGATGCACACATGGAGCCTTGGAGAGCCGCACGCAGGGCTGGGGGCCGAGGAGGCCCCGCGCGGTAACACCCGCGTGCGGGCGGGGAGGGGAGGCTGTCGGCAGGACCCACCGCCGCCCCTTCTGCTGAGTCCAGGCTGGACGCCAGCCCTGCGGGTGGGCCTCTGCTCGGCACCCTGCCCTCCAGTCCTTCCAGGGTGCAGCCTGCCTCGTGGGCTGGGAGGGTGGACAAGGACTCAGCCGCGGGGCCGGCAGTGGCTTCGTGCTGACACTTTTCTGTCCTTGCGGCATCGCTGGAGGCGACTGCATGTTCCCGGGCGAGGAGCCTGTGCCCCAGCAAGTCGGGTGGAGCCCGGGACCCCTGGCACAGCCATGCACGCCCGGCATTTGGCAGTGAGCTCAGAGCTGCCCCAGCACCCCTCGGTGGCGGTGTGTACTTCTGTGGTCTGAAGTCTACACCTGTCTAGATTTGAAGTGGAACTTAAACAGGAACTCTTTCCTTTTGAATTTTTTAGGACAAAGAAACAAAGACAGGGACGTGCGGCTACTGTGGCCTGCAGTTCAGACAGCACCACCACTAGGGCGGCGCGGCGCGGCGGGCCGGCCAAGGGGGCGCTCTCCTGGACGGCCGCGCACGGCTCAGCTCTCCCCGAAGGCTCGGAAGTCGCACATTCACCTAGGAGGGGGGCTCGGAGCAGGTCCCCTCTGCGGTCCTGTCCCCTCTGGGGTCCCACCGGGTGCTTCTGGGCTGCGGGGAGGGTGCCATGGCCACGCGAGGCTGGAGCTCCTGGCCCGTCTCCGACCTGCGGTCACACTTTCCTTCCGTCTGATGGATGGTCCAGCGTCTTCAGTCCCAGGAAGTTCAGTATCCATTTGAAGGTGGTGGTGGGTCACACGTGGGCCGGGTTAAGTACAGTCTGAATATTTTAAAGAGTAATAATTATGATGTATTGTAAAACAAAAATAAAAGTAAGACTGAAGAAAGAGGGAGGAGGCTTGGCTGCGAATCAGGGGGAAGGTGATGACAGGCCGAGGGGTCTCCCCAGAGCAGAGGCCTGGGCTGAGGGGAGCCTGTGGCTGGGTCACAGGGGCACAGTGAGAGGGGACACACGTGGTGAGTTCTGATTATTGGAGATGAGGTGGTGAAACTCTCAACTTTGGAGAAGAGAAACCCATTTAAGCTTCTGGATGAAAGAACAGAACCACAGTGGGAGCTACCAGAGGGGCGCCTGGTGCTCCGTGGTCAGGCCTGGGAGCCGGACGACAGTGCCCACCGTCAGGAGTCCTGGGCGTGGCTACAGTGGCGGTCACCCGTCAGGGAGGGCCATCTCTGTGGACGGGGAGGATTCGGGGGCCGCTCCTGGCTCCAGGCAGCCCCTGGGGAGGTGGTGAGTGGGGCCGCGCAGCTCCGTGGGCTGGTGCGCACAGTGGGCACAGCCCCAGCTCCTCGGGTGGGAGCTGCAGGGCTGGGCGGTCCGGCGGTGGGCCTGGGCTGGCCCTGCGAGTGGTCTGGGAGGTGGGGGCTCGGAGAGGGAGGTGGGGATGGGCATCCTGGGGTCCCGGTGGGGCTGGGGGGTGGTGCTGGGGGAGCCTGGAGTAGGTGAGAGCCCGTCAGCCTGACCAGGGCAGTGGGTGCGTGATGATTTCAAGCACTGAGAATGTGTCTGAGTGGGAAGGGGCCGCTGAGGGGGCGCGGCTGGAAGTGGGTGCAGGGAGTGCGTGGGGTTGGGTGACAGGTCCCGCACACAGGGAGGCCTCGGAACCTGGGCCAGACGGCACGGCGGCCGGTGGGAGGGCCAGGCCGAGCCCCGGGCTGCTGGGGTCCTTCTGCCTGTGACCTGCGCAGGGTCTAGCCTCACGTGGGTGTCGGCTTTTGCCCAGTGCTTTGCCTTCACCTCTGGGACTCGGTGCTTTTTCCTGTAAGCGCCTGACGGGGTGAACTGCACTGATGACTCTAAAGTGAACCTCTGCTTTCCCGGGGGAGCCCAGACCCTTCCCTGTGCTGTCCCCTCTGTCTGTCCTGAGGTCTTGGCGCCAGGGTCGTGCTCACCTGCAGTTGGGGGGCCCCCATTTTCTGATCAAGAACCCCGGGAAGTCCTCTGGGCCTGGCCTGGCCAGCTGTGGGCAGACCGGCTGCGGCTCTGGCTCCCGTGGTGGTTCAGGGCTCCGCTTTCTTCTCGAGCTGGTTTTGGTAGCTGGTGGTTTTTTCCCCTAGAATTTCACTGTTTTACCTAAGTTTTCAACGTTGCTGGCACGAAGCTGCGGGGTGTCTACGCTCCCCTCCGTGATGGAGGCTGTGCTCTTGGTTCTGTGACTCACCCGCGCCCGGCACGAGCCTCTCACGAGTGTGAGTCGTTTTCGTCTCGAACAAGACATCCTGCCTTGAGTCTCCTCTGCTGGTGCGTCGTTTGGCTGCACCGACTTCATTAAGTATTTTCATGGTTTTTTTGTTTTAGTCCTTCGCAACTTTAACGTATGTTTATGCTTTTGTCTCCAACATACAATATACTTGGTATATTGTACACCAAACACACCTGGTTTTTATCCAGTTTAAAATCCTGTCTCCCAGCTGGAGAGTTCAGTCCATTTTTACGTCATGTAACGGCTGACGTGTTGAGGTTCAAATCCACCGCCTCGTTCTGTCCTATCTGTCCCAGCACTTTTGTGCTTCTCTTTCTCCTTTGCTTGAAAGAATTTGTGTTTTCATTCTCTTTTCCCTGTAAAACAAGTTGATTTTTCTTCAAAACAGAAAAGTCAGGTGAATACTGGGACACATGATGGCAGCTCATTAGATTAAAAAATTCTTAACACACCAGTTGCAGTCGGTGTCAGCGGCTGCCTTCACACGTGAGGATCACCGGGCTTCACCACCTACCCTCCTCCCTTAGAACCCTCTGGGAAGGTCCTCCGTCCCCCCATGGGTCCCATGTGGGTGGGAGGGGTCAGCCGCTGCGCCCAGGGCTGGGGACCTGATTGCTTCTGCTGCTCCCCCCGCCCAAGCAATGAGCAGGAGCGGGTCCGCGTGACGTCCCCCTTGCGCAGTCCCTGGGCTTCCAGGCCCTGCCTCTGCCTACCCAGTTGGGTCCACCTGCAGGGTCGCTCTGGGGGGTGAGTGAGCAGGGATGGTAGGCGGGCAGCGGGCTGTCAGGAGTCAAGTGCGCTTTCCCATGAGCCAGGCTGGGCCTGCCCCCCATGTCGTGTTTGGCCCGCAGGTACGAAGGAGTTGCAGCGGGCTCTGCCATGTGAGGGGTGTGAGGTCAGGGATCCACCCTGACCTCAGCCCCAAGCGTGCAGATGGCTGATGACCAGAGTCCGCCCCGGCCAGTCCAGGTGTGCGCGCCCACGGCACCTGCGCGAGGCCAGGTGGGTCAGGGCCTCGCCCGGGGCGCTGAGGTCACTGACATGGGGGCGAGCTCAGTGCTGTCCTGGGGGGCCCAGGCCGCCCCCTCTGCCTGGCCATGCTGGGTCCCACTGGGCCAGAACGAGGGGCGGGGGCTCCTGGGAGGGCTTCACCTGTACGTGCGCAGCGGTTCCCTGGTTTTATGGCAGATGTTTGATCTGGTTCCCCATCCTGCAGTGAGCTGGTGACTCACGTCAGCCCTCAGGTGGCTGTCATGGGTGCAGGGCCCCTTCTCCCGGCTTCAGTCACCTGCTGCCAACGTCCTTCTGAAAGGACTAAGTGGGTACTTTCAGAGGTAATTCGTAAGTGATGCATTTCCAGGCATCCTGAGCAGCGCGATGCGGTCTCCCATCTCCTGCCCCGTCCCGTCCCGCCCACGAGAGTCGGCCCTGTGCCCGCGTGTCCACCCGGAGTCACTTGCCGCTTCTCGGTCGGCAGCTCTGGTGTCTCGGTACGGCGATGCTTGTGTTCAGGTGACTCTGGTTTTGCCTGGCAGTGGCCCCGGCATATAAGCGTGTGTGCAGGAAAACACAGCAACGTGGGGCGGGGCGCCGTCTGTGGCTTCAGGCCTCCTCTGGGGGTCTTGAAAAGTATCTACGGGTGGGGGGGGCAGTGAGTCTGGGAGTCCAGGCAGAAACGTGCTGTTTCCTGTGGCTGGTGCTTCACTCAGTCTCAGGGAGGCCGGAAGCCTGAGTCATGGGGTTCCAGGGCCTCTCGGGGCCTCGATCCCCCCAAGGGCCGAGCCAGTGGTGTTTCCAGCCCCCCCAGCTTCTGGAGGCGCCCACAGCCCTTGGAGCTCCTGGGCTGGTGGTCCCCCGTCTCTGCCGCCCCTCCCCACGTCTTTGTCTCCACGTGGCCACCTTGTAAGGACACCTGTCCTTGGGTTTAGAATGGCCTTGTCTTAGCTAGTTACACCTGCAAAGACTGATTTCCAGATAGGGTCCAATCAGAGGTTCTAGGAGGGCATGAGTCGGGACGCTCACCCCCAGGACAGGGAACAGGGTGTGCTCTCACTGCTCTCCCAGGACAGCGCTGGGAAAGCAGGCGGGAGGAAGGCCGGGTCCTGCGGCCACTGCCCGGGAGGGGTGGCGGGGCTTGTGCTCAGATGCACGCCGGGTGCGCAGCGCGGGCTCCACACCAGGGGACCAGCCCGCCTACACTGAGGTGGGCGTCACTGCCCAGCGCCCCCCCGGGGCTCAGCAGAGTGGTGCCGGGGGCGGGGGGGGCGGCTTCCCCGGGCGAGGAGGCAAAGGT